GTTTTCCCTTTTAGGTGGACGACCTTTTGCCTTCGTAGACACTCGTGGCTCCCTAAGGCCTTCCTCTTCGGGGTAAAGCTGACTCATTAATGCAACCTTGGCTGCTCGAACTGCAGATGGACCACGTCTACACACCTCAGCCACTAGATCATGAAAAATCTGAAGATCATTGGCGTCATTGTCTTCGAACCGTCTTGCATCATGAGGGTTAGCATAGTCCAAAGTAGACCAGAATGGTGCCAAGTGTGTTATCTGAAAATGGTCTCCCGCTCCTTTAAAGGAGTTGATTCGACAACTGCATGGGAGCCCATGTGTCCTCCCAATCACACAATCACATTCCGAAGGAGTCTTCTTTCCCTCTACAAACATCAACTCAAGCGCATATAGGCTTACACTTCCCCTTATAACGCCGTAGGGTGGTCCATAGGCTCCTTTGAATGTCTTTGTTCGACATGTCTCTAGCTCTTTCCTAATTTCGATCACTTGCCCCCCAATGCTAGCATGCCATGATAAAAATAATGTATCAACTCCCCCAGTCGAAGTGTTTAACCAAGCTTTAAGAGTCGAGTGAGCCGATTCAACCCTATTCGTACTTGTGTTACCAATATGAAAAATATTGTTAGTGTAAGCACAAGCCCACTTCTCTTTATGCTCCAAGCACTCACGATCCAAGTATTCTATCAACTTACTATTCCTCCCCCAAAATCCATTTTTGAAATTTTCCCATTCCTCAATCATGGCATGTGGCGTGGTGGCTTCCATCACCTTCTTCCAAGAACCATGTACCACTCCTCGAGCAACTTCTTGTGGTATCCCCAAATCCATCATCTTAGCTTCAATGTTCCGCTTTATGTGCCATATACACAACAAGTGGGCCGATTTCGTGAAGACCTGAGGGATAGCGGCAACCAATCCTCCCTCCTTGTCAGTTAGAATTGCATTCGGTATGCGATCTCCAAGCATGTTCTGTAACTCTCTCAAAAGCCAAACATAAGAATCTGTGGTTTCCCCCTCCATCATAGCAAATCCAATGTTGAAGTTCCTCTTGACGGGGGTAACACCAATAACCTCAACCAGGGGCCTCTTATATTTGTTCGTCTTGTATGTGGAATCAATCAAGATTACATGGTACCAAGCACTCAACATCCGAACGGACTCAGGGTGAGCAAGAAAAAGGTGAGTAAGGTGGCGATCATCATCACGCTTGTAGCCAATGTAGTACCCCATCTCTCTCGCATGGTGTAACGTCCAATCCGAAGGGGTCATGCCACTCAATCTCTCAATCCTTATATTTGCTGTCATGTTGTAAAATTGTCGTTTGTTATGGTGAGTACCATAGTTTTGGTTGATAGTTTGCATCATTTTTCGAGGAGCAACACGAGCCCATTCCATCTCCTTCATATCCTTTAGCTCTTCATTAGTAAAAGCATTCCTCTGAGTGTGGCCTTCGGGATAAAGCTCTAATGCATGGTTGTGAAACCCACAAAATTGTCCCGGATTGTGATTGTCCTTCACACCATCAATCATCCAAGTCTTTTCCTCCGGGAGTCCCACCAGTCTCACTCGAAAACGACAACCATCTTTAAGTGACTTTGTGTTGGATCGTCCTTTCTTATCCGGATCTGGGACATATGTATTGATCTTATATCCACGATGGCAGTGAAGATATATTCGGGGGTACTTCTCGCCATCATTTGATTTGGTTGATGAATGTGTCAAAAAGAACCCAAGATCTTTTGCAATCACTTTCGCACCTTCCATAGCTTCATTCCATGACTTATATCTTGTATTTGTTATGAAAAATTGAGTATAATCAACTTTGTCTCTTTTATCTTCCGGATCTCCCTAAAATAAACACATTTATCTTATTAGTGATACTAATTTTGAAATGTTTGTTGTAGATTAAATTATTCCAATTTGATATAGATTGAGTCTTACATAAGTTTCAACACTTTTCATGACTTGTAATGTTTGTTGTAAATTGAATTCTTACAATTTGAAAATGGATTGAGTCTTATATAAGTTTTAGAAAATTTGATGACTTGTTTGCAATATTAGATTTTATATTTATATTCTTATTAAAAAATATTAAACAAGTTATTAACAATTATTCAATATTCGAACATAAACTAATCCAATACATTTTCAACAAAAAATTAGCACATTTAGCATGATTAACTACCAAATCCTAATATTTCAATATGCAATAAAAAGTTTTTAACAAGTAGACACGTACTCATTAAATTATCAACAACACAACGTTGTTAACAATTATTCAATATTTGAACATTAACTAATCCAATACATTTTCAATAAAAAATTAGCACATTTAACATGATTAACTACCAAATCCTAATATTTCAACATGCAACAAGTAGACACGTACTAATTAAATTATCAACAAGATAGTAAAATCAATAATTCAACATTTTTCAAACAATATGTATCATTGTAAAGCAAATATTTAAGCATATTATCAATTACTAGACTTCATCATAACAATAAATAATTCAACATGATTCCAAAATTAAAAAGTTTAACTCACTAACCGTGTTACTCATTATCTGATGTAGTGATATCCAGAAGTCCGAACTTGACCAACTTCAAGAAATACATACAAAAAAAATAGTTTCAGTAATACTAACATAGTTTCAAAATATAAAAAAATGAAATTCAAGAAATTCATTCTAAAAATAATATTATAGCAAATCCATCCTAAAAAATATGATAATTACAATATCATAAAATAATAAACTACAATAAAATCGCTAAATATTCTTCAAAGTCTAAATTATTGTTAGTAAACATTAACTTAGTTTCAAAATAATAAAAAATGAAGTTAAAGAACTTCATTCTACAAATAATATTATAAAAAATCCTACTAAAAATATGGTAATTACAATATTCATAAAATAATAAATTACAATAATAAAAACACTACATATTCTTAAAATATGGCAATTAAAAGTCTAAATTCTTAACTTAGTTTCGAAATATGAAAAATAAAAATTCAATAACTTCATTTTCAAAATAATATTAGAACAAATTTTTCTAAACAATATGATAATTAAAAAATCTAAAATAATAACCGAAAATCTAAATTAATATATTTTAAAAATCTAATATACTTCACAAATTTAAATTAACAAAAAATTTAAAAAAAAAAAAAATCGGCGACGTCCCGGCCGGACGTTCGTCCGTCGTTGTCGGGTTATTTGCCGACGTACCTCGTCGGAGAAAGGAGCTGTCGTCGTCGGGGGTGGCGGTCGCCGGCGGGGGTGGCGGTCGCCGGCGGGAGGTGGCGCGGTCTCTGGCGGGAGGTGACGGTCGCCGGTGGGAGGTGGCGGTCGCCGGCGGCGAGTGTTGTTGGATTGTGTTTGGAAAAGTGTTTGAATGTTTTGGTCTTGGAATGTGTGAAGTAAATGTATTTAAATGTTATGGGTATTATTGTACTTTTTATAATTTAGAGCTACAAATAAAAATAATTTAGGGCTACAAATAGTACGAACCTTTCCATATACCCTTTCTCCAATTAGCTAGCCTCTTCTTCGTAGGACCCTTTCAAAATCTTTCCAACACTTCCTTCCAATGTGTAAAGTAGGTTTTCTGATTGTGCAACAATGAAAGGTTTCTTTGTTTGTTTGGTTAAAGAAGGTTAATAATGACAAGATCGTCTTATAGCAAAAGTGAAGCTTAATGGTGGGATACAAATATCTAATTATACCAGTGTGAATTAATTTTATAATAATTGTTTTTGTCTCGCTACTAAGAAAGATGTTGACATTTTAGAATCTCGTTTATATATATAAATAAATGAAAATAGTGTTGGACATTGCCAAACATGATTTATCTCGATGAAAATTTCACATTTTCACCGCCATATTACAAAGCTTTGAAAGAAACCTTTAAAATACGATATTAGGATAACAGGACTTCAATACCCATAGATTTATTAGCTAAATGTAATAAACACATTTTCAATCTTCTGCCTTTAAACAGAGAGCAGTCAAGTCTCAACTAGTTTTACCTCTTTTGGTTTTACCATTTTTTACTAGTTTTACCAATTTTCTTCAATATTTTTCAGAAATGTATTGATTACCAATATAGTATTAAACACGAGTTCATGAATCTAGGAGGTGTTTAAACGGTTATAATGGTAATTATCAAATCAAATAAATCTAAATTTTAGTAATCATATAATAGAATACCATAACAAAACCAAGCAAATTAACCAAGCTAAAATTTAATCAGTTTGGTTATTGTTTAAACATGTTAACCAATACGTTATCAATACATTATTGGTTGAACAGGTTAATGGACCAATCCATGATTTATATAATGAATAACGCATGACAATAAACACTTAGTTGACAGAAACAACTTCGAGAAGGCTTCCAAAACGACTTCGACGACAAACCCTAAAATCGGACCACGGTGGAGTTATCTGCGGTAGCAACCCTAAAATCGCCTTCCGTCTTCTCACACGGTCGGTCGACGCTGACTGTGGAGGATTACGACTGACTGAGATGACACAAGAATATGATCGCCATCGCCAACACTGGTCTTCGTCGCCGTGCGTGGAATGAAGCAGATTAAGAACTCAAACCTAAGTGACAAAGATTTTTACTTGTTTTCGGCAAAATCCAAGATTTGGAGTATGAGAGGAAGTCGGATAGGGAGGCGGAGGTATGAGGAAAAACAGATCGGAGGAGATAGGTTGAGAGAGCTAAAGAGCTGAGAGACGATGGAAGACGGGTCACAACAAAAGGGTAAAACCTGATTAATTTTTTTTAACAAGGATAGGGTTGGAATAAATGTCGGATTTCTAAATAATCGATTTCTAAATCCGACAAATGTAGGGTTTTGAAATTTTTTGTGTCCAAACCTCTCGTTTTTCCCCCTCAAATGAGTGATTGAGTGATTTAGAAAATAAATGCCTGCGACCCTTTCAAGCTAAAAAAAAAAAAGCTGCCGTTTGAAAGAAGAAAATAGAATATCAGATTGAAACACAAAAGAGAATCGATCAAACAACTGAGAAACGAATACAATCGATAAAACTGCAACAAGACTCATGAAATTGCACATATACTGCAGTTGAACATAGGGATTCGCACTTATGAGGGGAGGACGAAAACAGCAAGAACCAAATTCCATCCACAAGCATCTAGTCAAATGAAATCTGAACTTCCATAGGATGAATGTAACATCAATCCATTGAACAAAATCCACAAAATTGTGATAAAAGAGTATCATCCATTACACACTAATCGCTCCCTCCCCCAACTAGATAATGGGTTACTAATCGCGAGTAAAATCATTGGCGCAGTTCAGCCTTCTTCTTCTGCCACAGCCTGTCGAGGGCACTGTCACCGTCACCCTGCAAAATAGCCAAGTAGAGCCCAACAGATCAACAAAACAATAGAGGACCAAATTTCAAGTTACGTCGACCCAAATCAAAAGCATAAACTCAAACAAACTACTACACTTACAGAACCAGCTACTCCTACTTTATGAAAGAAGAACCAGCACAGCAGTTCACAGTATCGACCCAACAAAAAGGAATGCCCGAAAAGTAAGCAAGGCAAACTAATACCACCTTGAATCGTATAATTCAGAGAGTTACATTCAATCAATGGAAAAAGAGGAGCAGATAAAACGCTATATTTAGAGTTAAATCTGACTGGTGAGTTGCTATCTATTATCATTCAAAAATAAAATGAAGACCTAGCTTAGTGGTTGGAACTACTCAGGGCATGAACTCATGAAGGATGAACCCATTTCAATCCACTGGAATCAACAATTTCACTGCCACAGATCTTCGCGGTAATCTGCTTTGCTAAACCTAGATTATCAACCATAATGACCTAGGTTCTTTAAGAGACAGCAACAGTCCACAATACTACCTAGCACACAAACAAGTAGAAAACCTAGCAATATGAAACGAGGAGACAGAATACCTGAGCTCGGACGAAACCGCAGAGAGCATAAGTGGTGAACTGGCCGGTGTAACGACCGTTGGCATCCAAATGACCAACGTTAACCTGGACGGAGGCGTGATCCTTGGAGGTAATCAGCCTGTTGGTGGCAGAGCTGCAAAACAAATCAGACGCAAAACTTAAGCTACTAGTTCGTTTGGAGAAAAAAAACATAACCCTGATGAAAAGACTTAAGCCAGGTTAATTCCATCACTCACCATTTCCTTGGGATGTAGAGATCAATGTCCTGACCTTCTTCGTTCTGCATCTTGGTTGATTGATCTAAAACCCGCCGGAAACAGCAAATTTAAGCTCAAAATCACCTGTTTGAGACCAAGCAACCAGAAATCAGAACGACATAATTGAAATACAAACAGCTAAAAGATTAAGGAAACGATTTAGGATTAACAGCAGACGGAGCTAAGAAGAAGAAGAATCGATGATTTACCGTTCGAGAGTCGAGAGAGAAACTGCGGGTTGAGGGTTTTGAGCTCAGAGGCAGAAAATTTCCCTTCGCTTCCCTATATATCCCCTTCCGCCAAAAACCCTAAGCCGCCAGTTTGGGACTGATGAAGGCCAATTCCTATGTGGGCTTTTCTATGCTTTGGCCCATAAGTTAAGGCTTTCAGCCCAGCCTGGAGAATATGAGATTATCCATGAATTCGAAATGGAAAAACTGGAGCAATAAAAAAAAAACGAATTGCAGGAGGGTGAACGAATTGGAGCAATTGCGCGCTTGAAAAGTGTCACTTCTTCTTCTTCTTCTTCTTCCCGCCCAGCAATCTCTGCGTAGCGGCGCTGAGATCGGCGACTAGAGACGGAGAATCGGTCGTCAGAGCGATGGAGTTCAGTCTGAGCGGGAACGGATTGAAAACATTTTCCCGGTGCATCACATGTCTAGCTCGTATCGGCAACGAGCTTGCCATTGAAGCTTCTTCTTCTCAGGTAAAAGCTATCATCCGAGCTACCTTCTCTATTTCGAGCTCCTCGGCAAGTTTTCGCTGTTCTCGCTGGAGGAATTTCTATTTCCATAAACTGACTGAAGAAATTAGTGATTGGAGTTGAGCGATTCCGCGTCTGGATTAGTTTGGTCGCCGAGAAGCTGAGGGGAAATTGGCTTCGTTTCGACTTTATTTTCCCCCGTCTTGCGTTGATTATTGGTTTGCGCTTACGATTTTTCAGCTTGAATTTCACACTCTCAACTCGTCGAGATCTGCGTATCAGTCTATTACGTTCAAGCCTGGCTTCTTCGATGTTTATACGATATTCGGCGCTCAGGTCAAATTCAGCGTGCTTGTGAAGGTATAGTAGTAGATTCGTTGCTGTTTGGTTCAGGAGAAACGTTGAAGGATCTGTATCAGTTTCTGAATGGCGCTGATTCTTGTTCTTACACAATCCAGGCGGTTTGCGCCGTCCTTAGGACACCTATTCAAAGCATCGATCATCTCAGAGTTCAGTTGCCTGATCCTGATGCTTCCAAAGTGCAATGGACCTTGGAGTGCAATAACGGTAAAATGTCCTTATGAAATAGTATTACATTTGATGGCTTCTGCTCTTTTCTGAAACGTTTGGTGATATGTGTATGCTCATCTTCCTGCAATTTGGAACGATTCATTCACTGCCTGGTTTCTATAAGTGGACGCAACCATGGAAGGTTTCATTTTGTATCAGCGTGTATAGTTAGACATGTTGAGATCGCATGTGAGATTTGGTTTTCTTGAAATCGGACTAGCTTTATGTGTTCCCAATGTGAAAATCGACGCTGACTGTGGAGGATTACGACTGACTGAGATGACACAAGAATATGATCGCCATCGCCCTCGCCAACACTGGTCTTCGTCGCCGTGCGTGGAATGAAGCAGATTAAGAACTCAAACCTAAGTGACAAAGATTTTTACTTGTTTTCGGCAAAATCCAAGATTTGGAGTATGAGAGGAAGTCGGATAGGGAGGCGGAGGTATGAGGAAAAACAGATCGGAGGAGATAGGTTGAGAGAGCTAAAGAGCTGAGAGACGATGGAAGACGAGTCACAACAAAAGGGTAAAACTTGATTAATTTTTTTTAACAAGGATAGGGTTGGAATAAATGTCGGATTTCTAAATAATCGATTTCTAAATCCGACAAATGTAGGGTTTTGAAATTTTTTGTGTCCAAACCTCTCGTTTTTCCCCCTCAAATGAGTGATTGAGTGAAATTTGGCACAATGACGGATTTAGAAAAAATCCTGTATATAAATTCCTCATCTAGACGACTCCTAATGTGATTTGATCCCAAAAGACATTCAAAATTGAACCAATTTTTTCAAGTGGTCATAATAAACAAAAGAAATTATACTCAAAGACAAAATACTAATAGAAATGTCATCCACTCATCCTTGTTCACTTACTATAATTTACAAATAATTTTTTATGTAATTTATCCACTTATTAAGAAAATCTTAAATATAAACTAGAAATTAACCGCACTTTTGCGGCAGTCCCACGTGATTAGGAAAATCGGAGGACCATTATCGTTCAATGGGTAGGAACTGAAAAAGACAATAATATAAATATAAGATATTTCTTCAACATTATTTTCTCATCTCCGTTCACTTATTCTTATCTTATAATCTTGTTTTTCGCACGCCACTATTAATCAATTTCGTTGCGGAAGCCTTTGGGCGACGAACTATCAGTTTTCGTCGCAGAAGCCTTTGGCGACGCGGTATACGCGACGCCCAAAAGTTGCCTATGGAGATGATCACCACTTTTGTCGCAGTATCTTTTTGCGACGAAAAATTGGACTTTTAGCGATGAATTGTTCTGTCACAAACCTGCTATTTCTTGTAGTGTGAGAAACACCTCAAATAATGCATGAAATAATCGCTTATATTGTCCTTGCACGTGAGATAATCAACATTTGCTTTGTTAACCGCATGCTCTCTCTCTTGGAACTGACGTCTTTGTGGCTTTCCTCTCCCACGCGGCTTGCTTTCTTACTTCCAACTTATTAGACCACCTTGGTCTATCAAACTTGACACCAACATGATCTAGATCTCGCGACCACATCGGTCTAGTAGACTTGATGCCAACGTGGTCTAGATCTCGATCTCGCGACCACGTTGGGCCACTATGCTTGACGCCAATGTGATTTAGATCCCGCGACCATGTCGGGATACTAGGCTTGACGCCAACGTGGTCTAGATCTTACGACCACGTCGGGCTACTAGACTTGACGCCAATGTGGTATAGATCTCGCGACCACATTGGGCTACCAAACTCACGACAAATCTAGTACCTTCCTAGAGACTTAGTGGTTTAGGCTTAAAAACTAGTACCATGAGGCCAGTTCAAATAACATTAATTGTCATTAATGATCTGGCCTTATAAAGACAATTAATGCCTTGTAAATAATCAATATGGTACAAGTCGTCTACTCAAATCAGGTATGTATATTTACCTTAGCCAAAAAAATTTGGCTTACAATGATCAAACCAACACGCCCGGATGGAACTCACCGTCAAAACTTGTCCCATGCCTTGGCCAAATGTTTGCTACCACGTCAAGCCAACCTGACTGGATGGAACTCGTCATCAAAGCTTGTTCCATGCCTTCGCCAAATTTTGACTATCACGTCAAGCCAACACATCGGGAAGGAACTCCTCGTTAAAACTTGTCTCATGCCTTAAACCGAATTTTGGCTTTCAATGATCAAGCAAACATGGCCAGATGGAACTCGTCGTCAAAACTCGTTCCATGCTTTAGCCAAATTCTGGCTTTCCATTATCAAACCAACATGGACGGATGACATTCACCGTCAAAATTTGTCCCATGCATTAGCCAAATTTTGGCTTTCAATAAAAAAAAACATATCTCTCACCCAAACCCTCTTGAATTCTATTCAAAACCCTCGTTGCCATCTAGTACTTGGCCACATGGTTGAGCAATTAACTTAGAATTTTTCATCACAAATTTTAACATGGAACGACTCATCTCACCTCGTCACAAGGTTATGCAGCTCCCTCACGACAACTTAAGTTGTCTACCCTTTGTCTTCGAACAATAATGTTCCTTTTCATCCTGTTAAAGACAATATGGTCACCAGTCACCACTCTTCTACTACCACGTTTCAAACCATCATGCTCACCAAGTCATGGCTACTCAAGACACGACAACATGGCATGGCATGACCTGATATATGACTCGACATGTCAAGCCATCACAACGACTTGGTGGCAAGATCTTCATATCACTTTAAGATTTTCACTTTGTTATTCTCTCTCTTATCTTTTCTTTTAAACATGGTTGACTACAATTTTTTTCTATAAATAATATATAATAAGTACATTATATAAATTTATTTATTTTACAAGGTAAGAAGAAGTGACAAATGTCACTCTTTATATCCTTTGACAAAAATCAATGTACTAAAAGTGTACACCCATTAACGGATGATGATTAAATTATACATTGTTATTGACCAGAAGGTTATCGAAACTACGAGTCTGTCGGGCAATACCAGAAAGAGTAGGACGCTGGACCAATCCCTTTCAATCGAAGAGATGTGTGACAAAATAAATGCCTGCGACCCTTTCAAGCTAAAAAAAAAAAAGCTGCCGTTTGAAAGAAAAAAATAGAATATCAGATTGAAACACAAAAGAGAATCGATCAAACAACTGAGAAACGAATACAATCGATAAAACTGCAACAAGACTCATGAAATTGCACATATACTGCAGTTGAACATAGGGATTCGCACTTATGAGGGGAGGACGAAAACAGCAAGAACCAAATTCCATCCACAAGCATCTAGTCAAATGAAATCTGAACTTCCATAGGATGAATGTAACATCAATCCATTGAACAAAATCCACAAAATTGTGATAAAAGAGTATCATCCATTTCACACTAATCGCTCCCTCCCCCAACTAGATAATGGGTTACTAATCGCGAGTAAAATCATTGGCGCAGTTCAGCCTTCTTCTTCTGCCACAGCCTGTCGAGGGCACTGTCACCGTCACCCTGCAAAATAGCCAAGTAGAGCCCAACAGATCAACAAAACAATAGAGGACCAAATTTCAATTTACGTCGACCCAAATCAAAAGCATAAACTCAAACAAACTACTACACTTACAGAACCAGCTACTCCTACTTTATGAAAGAAGAACCAGCACAGCAGTTCACAGTATCGACCCAACAAAAAGGAATGCCCGAAAAGTAAGCAAGGCAAACTAATACCACCTTGAATCGTATAATTCAGAGAGTTACATTCAATCAATGGAAAAAGAGGAGCAGATAAAACGCTATATTTAGAGTTAAATCTGACTGGTGAGTTGCTATCTATTATCATTCAAAAATAAAATGAAGACCTAGCTTAGTGGTTGGAACTACTCAGGGCATGAACTCATGAAGGATGAACCCATTTCAATCCACTGGAATCAACAATTTCACTGCCACAGATCTTCGCGGTAATCTGCTTTGCTAAACCTAGATTATCAACCATAATGACCTAGGTTCTTTAAGAGACAGCAACAGTCCACAATACTACCTAGCACACAAACAAGTAGAAAACCTAGCAATATGAAACGAGGAGACAGAATACCTGAGCTCGGACGAAACCGCAGAGAGCATAAGTGGTGAACTGGCCGGTGTAACGACCGTTGGCATCCAAATGACCAACGTTAACCTGGACGGAGGCGTGATCCTTGGAGGTAATCAGCCTGTTGGTGGCAGAGCTGCAAAACAAATCAGACGCAAAACTTAAGCTACTAGTTCGTTTGGAGAAAAAAAACATAACCCTGATGAAAAGACTTAAGCCAGGTTAATTCCATCACTCACCATTTCCTTGGGATGTAGAGATCAATGTCCTGACCTTCTTCGTTCTGCATCTTGGTTGATTGATCTAAAACCCGCCGGAAACAGCAAATTTAAGCTCAAAATCACCTGTTTGAGACCAAGCAACCAGAAATCAGAACGACATAATTGAAATACAAACAGCTAAAAGATTAAGGAAACGATTTAGGATTAACAGCAGACGGAGCTAAGAAGAAGAAGAATCGATGATTTACCGTTCGAGAGTCGAGAGAGAAACTGCGGGTTGAGGGTTTTGAGCTCAGAGGCAGAAAATTTCCCTTCGCTTCCCTATATATCCCCTTCCGCCAAAAACCCTAAGCCGCCAGTTTGGGACTGATGAAGGCCAATTCCTATGTGGGCTTTTCTATGCTTTGGCCCATAAGTTAAGGCTTTCAGCCCAGCCTGGAGAATATGAGATTATCCATGAATTCGAAATGGAAAAACTGGAGCAATAAAAAAAAAACGAATTGCAGGAGGGTGAACGAATTGGAGCAATTGCGCGCTTGAAAAGTGTCACTTCTTCTTCTTCTTCTTCTTCCCGCCCAGCAATCTCTGCGTAGCGGCGCTGAGATCGGCGACTAGAGACGGAGAATCGGTCGTCAGAGCGATGGAGTTCAGTCTGAGCGGGAACGGATTGAAAACATTTTCCCGGTGCATCACATGTCTAGCTCGTATCGGCAACGAGCTTGCCATTGAAGCTTCTTCTTCTCAGGTAAAAGCTATCATCCGAGCTACCTTCTCTATTTCGAGCTCCTCGGCAAGTTTTCGCTGTTCTCGCTGGAGGAATTTCTATTTCCATAAACTGACTGAAGAAATTAGTGATTGGAGTTGAGCGATTCCGCGTCTGGATTAGTTTGGTCGCCGAGAAGCTGAGGGGAAATTGGCTTCGTTTCGACTTTATTTTCCCCCGTCTTGCGTTGATTATTGGTTTGCGCTTACGATTTTTCAGCTTGAATTTCACACTCTCAACTCGTCGAGATCTGCGTATCAGTCTATTACGTTCAAGCCTGGCTTCTTCGATGTTTATACGATATTCGGCGCTCAGGTCAAATTCAGCGTGCTTGTGAAGGTATAGTAGTAGATTCGTTGCTGTTTGGTTCAGGAGAAACGTTGAAGGATCTGTATCAGTTTCTGAATGGCGCTGATTCTTGTTCTTACACAATCCAGGCGGTTTGCGCCGTCCTTAGGACACCTATTCAAAGCATCGATCATCTCAGAGTTCAGTTGCCTGATCCTGATGCTTCCAAAGTGCAATGGACCTTGGAGTGCAATAACGGTAAAATGTCCTTATGAAATAGTATTACATTTGATGGCTTCTGCTCTTTTCTGAAACGTTTGGTGATATGTGTATGCTCATCTTCCTGCAATTTGGAACGATTCATTCACTGCCTGGTTTCTATAAGTGGACGCAACCATGGAAGGTTTCATTTTGTATCAGCGTGTATAGTTAGACATGTTGAGATCGCATGTGAGATTTGGTTTTCTTGAAATCGGACTAGCTTTATGTGTTCCCAATGTGCTCCATTTTCTGTTGGAATGATTCATTGACTATGCTCCTTGAAGGATTCAACCATATTCATAATTGATATTGTGCAGGTATGAGAAAGGCCTATTCAATTACTTGCAATGTTGAGCCCGACATACAACATCTGGCTCTTGATAGGAATGGTTTTCCAAGCAGCTTAATAGTCAGACCGCGAGATCTAAACAGACTTCTAGCAAATTTTCAATCATCACTTCAAGAGATAACGATCATTGCAACAGAAACTACTTCTTTGCCTTCTGATGCTGATAGTGAAACAGGAGAGAAAGCCGTTGAACTCAGAAGTTATATTGATCCAACAAAAGGTCAGCTAGTTTCTTGTGAGTTTACTAATGACTTGAATGGAGAGTATCTTACTGCAGTTCTGCTTACTGTAGACAATGACTCTTCGCTGCACACTCAATTGTGGATAGATCCTACAGAAGAATTTGTCCACTATAATCATGTTGGAGACCCTGTTGATATCACATTCGGAGTAAAGGAATGGAAGGTGGAATAAGCTAGTTTCCTGTGCGGCATTGTTTGTGATATTCATGCATTTTGCAAGATCTTGATCTTATGCACCTGTTGTTTAGGATCAGTAGGGCAGCACCTTCTCTTTCTTGTCTCAAATAAATATTATTAACTTATCCATATTTGTGGCCTGCAGGCATTCGTTTCATTTTGTGAGAGCTGTGAAGTCGACATACATTTATATTTTGAAAAGGCTGGGGAGTAAGTTTTGTTTCTCCCTCATCCCACACAGCCACATATTGCTATCTTAACTGCATTTCTTGTGTCATTTTATCTCATTTGCAACTCATCTTCTGACTTCCTCTGTTCAACGTCCATTTCCACCCATTTGTATCTTTGTAATTGGTTAAGGTATTTCACTATTGGTAAAAATGTCGTAAAGAAATACTAGCTGATGAGATAACCTTTCTATATTTGGGTCAATGTCAGCAGAGTAGTGCATCAGCTATGTTCAAGATGTAGTAATTTGTTGGTTTTCTAGCACAGCATACCTGAAGATACATTGCAATTTGACCAAGGATCATTAGTTGGCAGTGGAATTAGTGGAAAGAAAAGTTGGTGAAGTAAGGCTTCTGTTACAGAACGCCAAGACAAGTCCTGGTTACTCCTGTAAAAAATCTGCAATTTTCAGTTGGAGTGTGTAGAACAAAATTCATAGGTTGCTTTTACTGTCAGTCTCACTCATAATGTGCAACTTCAAAGTCAGGATGCATTAGTATATCTAACTATGAATATTATGTTCAACAGACCCATTTTAATGGCACCAAAAGTTGGTCTTTCTGATGCATCTGGTTCAAACTTCGACGCAACACTTGTTCTTGCAACAATGCTTACATCACAGCTTCGTGAAGAAAACCCCTCTGAACAACCACAACGAGCTGCCTCTATACCAGCTCAAGCAGTAAGACAGAAAGAGCCTCAAGCACAGCCAGAGAGTAGTCATAGAGCAACAGCTTCTGAGCATCCATCTGATCAAACAAAAATTTGGTCTGACCTTTCAGGTAAATACTCAGTTCCAATGATGATGACATTACAGTAATCTACCGAAGAATGAGTGCTTTGACTTGATACAGGTAGTGCAGCAAGAAGTGGCAGTGCTGCAGCTGAAGATAGACAAACTGCAGAAGACAGAAATTTAAGTGCCACAGATCTCAGGCAAAGTCAGAGGCTTGGCAGAATTCAGATATCAGAAAATGTACCTGCAGGAGCTCCTGCTGCATCGAGGTAATGTCTTCATGTATTTGTTTATTTCAAGTAGTAAAGATGAAGGAGTTAGTCTTTCCAATGCTGGGGCAGTATGACAACAGGCTGAACTGCAAACAACTGCAATCGCGTAACTGCAGAAAACAGACGTAAACCTTGGTATAATATTTTTCTGCTTAGAATTCAAAGCACTGGACGTATGCATGAAAATTTCACCATTGAAATACACAATCTAGCTCAGAATCAAATGTTTGAGCAACTTTACACCGTGACTTGACCGGGCTTCATCAACTTGGTCAGGTTATCATAGTCATGTTACAGTTCGATTCATAGTACACTAATCCATCTTTCTATATTCGAACCTTTATTCCTATACTTCATCTTCAGGCACCATAACAGAGAGAAGGGTCCTCCGGAAGAAGCACAAGGTAAGAATAGAACTAGGTTTAGTTGGAGTAGTGAGTTCGAAACTTCAGCTTGTCTTATTGACTTACAAAAATTTTGTGGACCGCTTTCAGATACACCACAAGTTAATGATAATGCATTTTCCCAACGTCATCCTAGTAATTGGGTCGATGCAACTGAGGTTGATGATGATGATGACGATGATGATGAAGATGAAATGTGTATCCAATCAACGCCTCCATACTGTGAAGAACATTAGGAAAAGTGGTAAGGTTCATTTTCTGCAATTGGATTCTCCTGTATATGTTCAGTCGTAAGTGCATTGTTTCAGTTCTTTATAACAGAGATTAGCACATTAAGTCCTGCTGGGTGCTGAAAGTATCAACATATAGTGGCTTGTACGTGTAGGCTAGGATCATTTAGTTGCATAGGAACTTGCTTCCCCACAATTTTTAGACCAGCTTCATAGTTGACGATGGGGGTAAAGGTTCGTTACAAGCAACAAGCTTCTGGCCTTGGAACTGTTTTCGAAATCATTCAGCCCTTAAACCCATTCTCACAACCTTAATAATCTATCAGATATTCAAGGTTTGATCTGTGATCACTGATCAGTAGAACTACACTATAGCTATTTGGCATTTCTGAAAGAAATGCCACATAAGAAAGCTAGTAATTTACATGCTAGGCTCCGAGATCTCTCTTGATGACTTAAGCTCCTTCACATTTCTCCTGTTCATCTACCCAAGATCCTAGAACCGAACCTTGTATCTTTGCTTTCAGGTTGTTTCCTAGACAATTTACGTTCCCGACCTGAGTTATGAAATTGTATGCGGGTACATGTCAACCTCCTTGAGTTAGGTCATGATGACAATGACATATGCTTTCATGATCTCTCACATGGCCACACGACACATCACAGTATTTGCATTGAAGTCTTAGGCCACCGGTTATTGCAATATGCATGTAAGCATGACATCTCTTAGTCGAAATCAAAATGCTTAAAAGTCATAGCTGCTGCCTTTCTTGAGTCTGCTATGCAAAGTTGCAAACCCTTCTCCCTCATCTGCTGTTTGGGATCACTAAAATTTATTTATTTTGATTTAGTGTGAGAAAGGGAAAAGAAAATTGACGATATGACAGCAGCAGCGCTGGCAAGAAGTTGGGTATACATTATATATCAGCTCGAAGATGGGCCATTGCAGAGCTCCCACCATTAAATGCGTAAGGTAAGAACATGCTCTGATGTTTCAGCTACTTGCAATGTGCCTTTCGTACAGATTTATTAGAGTCTATTTTAAAAATACCCTGAAACAAGTGAGACCGAAGTCGATTATTGCCGTTATGCAGTCCTTGTCAGAGTGTCTCTAAGCGTGCACCAATTATTATCACCATTTCTATTATTGTTTTGCTTTGCTTTATTGGGCTCTCCCAAAATGCATATCTTTCCAGTTTCCACTGGTCATATACTACGCCTGATATATGATGAATGAGGTAGTAATTCTTTTGGCATTTTTACTTCTGTACTAGATCAATGAATCGATCCACCTGAGACTCGTGGTGAATTTAGTAACCAGCATCGTAGAACCAACACAAGATCCAGGATCTAGAACGAAGATAGATAGAGAGAGAGAGAGGAGATTTTGGATCTTGGGCTCTTTTTCTCTCTTCTTTCTAAGCCAGCTGGGTTTTTAGACAAAACCAAATGGCTCTGGGGCTCTGGGATCTGCTACTTGCTAGTTAAACTAGTATAGGATAGATACTATAGCCTGATTCCCATGTCACGGGGACAGGAATATGTGGGACTTGGGATCCCTTTAGATCACGGTGTCTCGTTTGGATGCCACCGTGGAGGATCTTACTTTGGCACTGCACTCTCATCTGGCATCAGCTAGATCCTTGAAAGTAGCTTACATGCCAGCCAGCAACGAAAGATACCCTTGTCAAAAAAAAAAAACCTTGTAAAAAAAAAACGAAAGATATCAATTTAAGGATCGACAGAAACACTAGCTGGAGAATTGGATTATATTAGGCTGTGTTGTTGATGTGGATCATGATTCATGAGTCACTTTTGTCAGGCCTGCTTTTGGATTGAATCTGCTCATTAGGTGAAAATTTGTCACTTTTAAGAAGAGTAGAGTTGCAATTGTTGCATGATGCGTCAGGATTTGAGTCTATTTGTTTGTTTGTTATGTGCTGTTGTTATTAATGATAAGTGGGGCTGTTGTTCAAGTTTTGCGGGACTTGTTAATGATAAAATTTGGGGATTTCCATCAAGCAAAGAGGTGATCGTTGGCCGTATCTTGATGTCAATAGAGCATATTAGGCATTTAGCAGGCTATCCAAACCAATACTGTTTTATGCGAAGCCAAAATACTAGATTTATGTGGGGGTTTTTTGCTGGCTGGGAATTGGTCACATTAAGCAGTATTTATGCAGAGTTGTGAGAAAGGTTGTCAACTCGGTTTAACATGTTGGCTCGATCCAGTAAGTGAGTTTGAAAATTAATTATCTGACCCTGATTTTTTTTTTTAAGTATAATTCCTTGTTATGCATTTTGTAAAGTGAGCAAAAAAAACAGTGGTTTATTTTGGCGGAGAAAAAGAAAGAGAGAAGGTACGTAGCACGGCACAGCTGGCTATGGAGAGTGGAGACTGGTGCGGTGGGGTTTAGTTTAAGTTTAAGAACGCGCATACACCGCACCGCACAGCAGTGGGTCCCACATCTCTAACGGCTACGTGCGCGTCACGTCCGTTGGGCGCTCCCCTCACCTCTGTTAAGTTAACGCCGTTTGATGTTCACACATAACAGCAGGGCCCATTCCTCCTTCCTTCCTTCCGCCTGACCTGACACTCCTTTTCTCTTTCATTTTGTGGCCCTCTCTTGTTATTTATTTGTTGGGGCTGGCTTTTTTTCACGGGATTGTTTTTACTTCTACTCCTCCAGTCCTCGGATCTTGTACTTGTTTGTAGACCGTTGAGGATCATTTCAAAAACAGTGAAGTGTGGGCATGGGAACTTTCTAGCCACGGGGGAGAGCCCACATTTTGCACCCAAGGGCGCGCATTTAGGTGAGCAGTACTTACTGCCAGCATCTAATTTGATGTGTTCATATGCTAAGTTAGTTTTGGAGCACGTGTTGCTTGCAGAAGTACTATCTTCCACATCCATGATAATCGAATCTTCAGAGTAATTACTGGATTCGTAATTGGTAAGTAACTTGTTTAAGCTACAGGATTAATGTTATTCTTGGTCCCTTAGCCCTATAATAAGCTCGTGAACTTTAAGATTAATGTTAAAGTATAACGGTGAATATGATTTAGGAAATATTATGTCAAATAATTCATTGGTTAGATGTTACTAAGAGGGTAGAATCTGCAATTGCGACAATATCAACTTGCAATTAATTCCATGCTAAAAAAAAAATCTTTCATCAAGTAACATCTTATAATGAAATCAATATATATCACTTATATTAAAAAATATATATATGATCTCAATTGGTTGAGATGATGATGGGCACAAACATGATCTCAATTGCATGAGATCATGATGCTACCCTTGGGACCGTGAAATTGCCTATTCAAGTGGGGGAAAAAACAGCTTTGAATGGTGGTTAATTACTTTTAATTTGTATACTGTCTCATTGGAGGCCAAATGATGACGGAAGGAAAACGGAGTGTAAGAAAGTAACGGGGACGGAGATTTTGAGGTTGTATATGGGGTGGCCGAATCGGTAGGAGGGAAAAAGAAAGACTGGAGAGCACAGCAAAACGTGTTTCGGTTAGAGCCGGCGATTCTTTGTTAGGGAACCATTGGGATTATTAGGTTACGAGGAGAGAAAGAAAAGAAAATCCCCTCAAATCAAGGATTGAAATACTGTATCGGATGTTATACTTGAACTGGAAATGTCAACGGTAAGATATTTTATATTAAAATCATGGTTTGATCATGGTTCAATTGCATAATACTTCTAAATACCGTTGGTACGATACAATATTTTCTGGTCGACCCCCTAACACGGTACGGTATTTCATTCCTTACCTAGAATAGGTGCCGCCCATTTTCCTTTCTTTCTCCCTTGGAATTATGGATTTTAGTCTAGAAGACAGGGAGAGGTGGGAGTGGAAGAAAGGGGGCAAAAAAGAAAAAGACAAAGCAGTCAACTAATAAGCTCTACAATTAACAGGTGGGTGTGAAATTACAAGAATGCCCATGTTTTCTCCTCTTAACTACCCAGTTGACATTTCTCCACCTGCAGGCAGGCAGCAACTACTAGTGGTTGTTGGGCAGTCTGAAAATACCAATACAATATGGTATCATTCATAAACAAAGACGCTTGATAATCAGACTAGTTGTTGTCTACGATTTTCCCTTCCATTTTCTTATTTCTCAGCTGCAGCATCTCAGATGACCAATTCTTCTTTCATTTGGCCATACGTGTTTGTTTTCTGTAGTTGTTTTCCGGCGAGAAAACTTGTGTTCAAATTTTAATGGATTGTACTACTTTAGGCAAGGGTGCATCTTCAATTTGAGTGCGTACGATATATTTAAGCTCGTATCGTCCAGAAAAAATGCTTGATTCACGCATATATCATTTACGTTTTTACTTCTATTTTAAGCAAATTTTCTCTATACGACTTTTATCACGCGTACATGTACATGAAAGGGAGATGGATTCATCTAAAATTGGTCGTTGTAAGGACAAATTTGTGGCTGAAAATACATGGATTAGTTGAAATTCACGGTTATATCCTCGTAACAAATAATGATAGCAATTAGGTTCTAATTTTGATGAGTAGAGTCTAGTTTTTTATGCTAGAATGGATCGTATACACCCACGATCGTTTTCGATTGATGCAAACCAGTTTCACAAGTGTATGTGTCAAATACATGTAAATCATATGCGTCCTAGGTTATATTCTCAATTTCTCATAATAAATAGTATGGATGATTGAATTTGCAAATTTAATTATTAGAGTCTAGCTTTAGACTAAGATGTGAAGTATGTTATCCAAAATCATAAACATTAACTTACTTTGTTCAAGTGAATTTATATAATTGAGTGCAATTTGGTGGCAAGGGATTTTTGAATGGCCTAGTTTGATTTTGTAATTTGATTTGCAGTTAATTACCTGGAAGAGATTGTTTTTCGTGCTATCTCATCTCAACAATGTAGATGGGAGGTGGGGATTGGCTTCTCTTCTCCTAGGCTACTTACACATCTTATTCACCATAAGGAAGGAATCAACTAGTTTTTTACTTTGTAGAGTTATTGGCCACTAGAATAGGATCATATCTTGTTCTCGTGGAACCTTTGTTTTCATTCAAAATCCACGATTAAAGAAGAAGTTTAATGTCAAATTAAAGCTGAAGAGTCGAACTAAGGTTCGATTAAATTTCTCTATATGCTCTTGAAGTTTTCTTAAAAGGGGTCGTTTAAAACTACTGACTATAAACTACAGCTATTACCGGCGGCGGATCTTTGGGGGGGGGGGGGGAGGGGGCGCTCTTGGGTCACGACCCAGCCCTCCCCGGATCCAAAACTCATATAGTACTTGTAAATTTCCGATTTTGGGTATATATTTCAATGTTTATAGGGTTATGGCCCAACCTTCTCCACCGCTTTGTAAATGCGACCCAGTGCTCTAACATGTTCTGGATCTGCCGTTGGCTATTACACACTCACTTCAATGAGAAATGTTCGCTTTTGCACTAAAGATGGATGAACATTTGAGCTTGGACTAATGAAGTTAAGGGAAAAGACATATACTGAGAATAAGATTGAAGATTTAAGTATTGTCGAAAATTGAGCGATGTTTCTAAGATTACCAGTTTGGATGGAATGTTTGAAATAACTCGTTCACACGAATTTGTCATGTTCCTCATCAAAAAAGAACTTAACTTTCCTATCAGTCCCGACAAGCGAGCAGTTCTTATGCAGACGAGTTTTGCTTTCATTAGTATTGTAAAACAAGGGACCATATAAATGAAAATCATTCTAGTCTTTGTTTGTATATTGAAATCTAAATGGCATTTTCAAGCGATAGGAGTAACCCACCATTAGCATTATCACAATTCCTAACATAGTTGAATGTTTACCACCTAATTCCCCAACATGACATTGTTTAATCTTAAAACACCCTCTCATGTCCACAAAGTAAAAATTTCACCTAACCCCATCTCTAGTCCAATGACTTTCATCCAGCAATTTGATTGGATTGAATCTTGGAGTACCACTTTGACATATGTTTTTTTTACCAAATCAAACCTTCACATACACACATCTAATCATATCTAATCTATTCCCCCACTTTAATTAATGTTGTCAAGAAGCCATATGATTAGTGCCCTCCCAAATTTCTCTCAACCCTTTTGAGTGGTTCCCCACAAACTCAAAAAACAAAGGGTGGCATTTTGGTAAAATGGGGATGATACCAAAGTCAATAATTCAGAGTCTTTGAGCTGGCCAAGTTTATAAGTCCCCCTCTAAACCACAACTAGCCCTTAGCTGGTTTGTCTTCACCACACAACCAAAGGAAAGAATAAAAGAAAACACCTCCAAAAGAGAGAGAGCCAAATCAGAGCATCTCATCTCAAGACAGCCATTTCCTTCCACCTCAAAAGCAAAACCCAGACGGAGAGTTAAAGGAGGAGGCACCCGAAGAAGAAAGAAGAAGAAGAAGAAGAAGAAAAGGAAGAACCAATTGGGATAAGAGAGCCCTTCGAAGAAAGAAGAGGGGAAGAAGAAAGGAAGAAGTTGTTTTTCCACTTGGGTTTTGCTAAAGATTTGTTCTTTTTGAGGTATAGAGATGGCCTGCAGCAAATTGATTTGTGTCACCTTCGCCATCTTCATGATGCTGCTGGTTAGCTTGTCCCCGGCGGCCGTTCAGGCGAGCGGCGGCGGTGGAGGACTCGAAGGCTGGTTACCCCTCAGATCTTCATCCGAAGGGTTGATTTCTGATGTAATGGCTGCTGATGGGGAAGAGTTCGCCATGGATTCAGAGATCAGCAGGAGGGTTCTGCAGCAGCAGTCTGGCAGGTACATCAGCTATGGAGCTCTCCAGAGGAACACTGTTCCTTGCTCGAGGCGCGGCGCAAGTTACTACAATTGCCGCGCCGGAGCTCAGGCCAATCCTTACTCCCGTGGTTGCAGCGCCATTACCAGGTGCAGAAGCTAAAAAAGTAAAGAAAAAAATGGAACTTTCCTTCTTCTTAACTCTTGTTTGTAACTTCTTTCTCTTTTCCTATTTTTGGGGGTTTTCTACATTTCTTCTTTTTTTTAGATTCGATTGTCATACCTGATGAACAAGGAAAGAAAGAGAGTTGGGGGAGTGAGAGAGAGCTCGTTGGTGAGATGGGGATGGGGATTATTATTGATGGAAATATATTGTTGTTGTTGTTATAATTTTACAGGTTCTCAATTTGGCTTTTGTAAAAGATTATATTGCTTCATTGCTATTCTTTGTTCTTCCATCTAGTTTCTGGGTTTAGCTTCATTCATTTGCAGTCTTGACTCTTGAGGGAAAGATCTTGCCTTTTCTCTCATTCTGACATTACGGATTGCATAGTTTCTTCTTTTCACTTTGGATAGTTGGATTAGGGATTTGATTTGGTGTCTCCAAATGGGGTTTCATTCTGCTTCTCAATTGGTGATTCATTAGTTCTTTGCTTTCCCAACCTTCAGATTCGAGATTCATTTGTTCCTTTTCATGATCTTGAACTAAGGACTTGTTAAGGTCTTCAATTGGTTTTTATGTGCTTGTCAATGGTGTCTTCAAACTAGGGGTTCATTAGTTCTCCAAATAGTCTGCTATGCAGGAAAGTTTGGTACTTTTAAGGGAGGGAGGTTCAATTTGGGTCTCTTTCTCTTTTGGTTCCCTTGGTCTCGGATTTTTCAAGTTGAACTTTGTTGGAAGAGGAAAACAGGAAAAGCACTTCCAAGATTTCTCTACCTTCTTCTTTCTTGCCTACTTTTTGGGTTCAGTGGAATTCCAATTCAGAAATTGTATGGGTCTCTGGGAGGGAATCTCAGTACTACTGAATACCCCCCTCTTCATGTTCTTCAAACAAAAGGTGGCCAGGGTGGAACCAAAAGAAGACTGAATCAAAGTTTGGTGACAGATTGATTGAGTAGTAGAGAATAAAGTTAGACACAGGAAGAAAGAAAGCTGGATGCTAACTGCTAACCTGGAAGAGAAAAGGGTCCTACAAGTTCCTTCTTGGCAAAAGGTGGGATTGCCCTGGTCAGTTGTTCTTTTAGCTAACAATCAATAGGACATGTTGCTTTCCTTCTGTTTTGTGAAAATTGACCCAGTAGAATATACCTTGCCATTTCAAAATTTGCTGCTCAACCAAAAAAGACTTATTCTGCATCATAGCAGCTATCTGTGAAGATGTGAGTTGCTCGTTCAGGTGAATTCAACAGTAACTGCCGCGTGTTCGTAGGTGCAGATTTGCTATGGTGTTATTTGCGATAGCGTGATTCGACCAGCAACTGCTGATCGATCTCAATCGCATCGGAATGATCAGTTTTTTCTTGAATAGATACGATTTCGTTTTACAACGTAAAATGTATCAGGCCGATGTCATGCTAATTTTTTAACTGCAGTTGAAAATCTTAGGTAAATACCTGCCAAACTGGATCTGTGATTTACCTTTTTTGAAGGTTTGTCGTCTTAGTTATGGCTTTTATTTGTGGGAACTGGATTGAAGCTATAATAATTTAGAGGTTTAGGGTGATTCCACGTTTGGATTGAAAAAACTGGCAAGTGGAGTTAGGATTGTGTTTCTGCAAGGTAATCTTACTGTGGAACAGAACCAAGAAAACAACAATATGGGGCTGGCAAGGCAGGCGGCAGCTCATATTTTTCTGTGAGAATATGCTGATTTGAACAGGCCAAACTAAATAAATAGGGCGGAAAATCCTGAATTCTAAATGCCAAGCTGGACTTGATTCCCAAACCAAAAATATGAATTTCTATGATTTTTGTCGCCATTAATTATTAGAAATAAACACAGGAAATCCCAACTTGCAAACGGTAATGGACATTTTTTTTTAGAGCAACGGACATATTCATATATATCAGTGTTCAATAGGCAAATACATAGCTTGGGCCCATTTTTTCTTTCTCCGAGATTTGGGCTCCGGCATGGGCTCGTAGTGGTGCCCAAAACTGCAATTGCATTGTACAAGGAATTTTGAAAAAGCGAATGCTAGTGGAATCATCATACTGTTTCCAGGGTACCAAGTTGTTCTCGGTTTGATAAAAATTCGTTTGAGACTCCATTTGTTTAATAACGAATCAAGTTTGAGCGCAATCTTGTTCGACTCGTAAGGGTCATGATCTACCTCGACTTAGTGGCTTGTTGAACTCAAATAGTGAGCCACCTCATCTAGTAATTTATGAGAGAATCAATTAATAACTTATCATTATATTGTTGATAATTCATAATTTTGTTACATTATATATCTCACCACATATGATGTTTAAGAGTTTGAGAACATAATCATATATGTCTCATTTACAATTTAAAAGAAAAATCATGTATCATAGTTTGCTCTGATACAAATTAGTAATTACTATTAAACAACATGATATAATAATATAAATATCATGAACTTAATTATAAGATACCTTACCTCGAGCCATCTCCCAAGCTAATGGATGAGTTGAGCTCGAGTTGAGCTCAAGTCGAACACAATCTGTGATTTTCGTAAACAAGTCGAGTTTGACTCATTTATTAATGAGCTAAGCTCGAGCTAGGTCAAAACTCGGCTCGGCTCAACTCATTTGCAACCATAATTTTCCCAAAATAACAATTTTGGGTCGTTATAGTTGTGCCAGTGCAGTTAGCTTACAAGTGAGTAGAGTTGATTCAAGTTTTTACTTAGCTCACCTCGAGCTCGACAGTCGAAAGTTTGAGCTTGTATCGAGCTTGATACGAGTTACAAAAATAAAAGTTTGAGCTCGGCTCAACATAAAAACTTTGAGCTCTAGCTCGAAAATAATTCATGAACAATATTAATGATCTAAACTCATGAACAATAATTCCATCACAAACTCAGCTCGAGATCAACTTCGGTTAGGCTACGCAAGACCTGAACCCAACCCAAACATGACCTGATCGATAATTTAAGATCTCCGACCCAAAATTATCCAACTCGACCGGATTGTCCGTTTGCCACGTCTATCGAAAGGATTTGGGAAAGTAGAACATGAGAAGGGGGGAAAAGGTATGGAAATAAACAATTTATGAGAAGGATTTAGGTTTTTTTTGTTTATAAAATATTAATTACACTTATTGTTTGCAGGGTCACCCTGCTTGCGCGGCAGTGGCGCGCAGCTTAATTGTTAGTAGAAAATCACTTCGATCGATCGATTTCCCAACGGTCACCCCAACTTTACCGATCTCTCCTCGTACTTTCCAGATTCCTTGTCGGCGACGGAAAAGGAAGACGGGCCCGTCCTCAACCTTTGTAGGAAACGGTCAACAGTCAGTCCACCGGCGAAGCCTTATATATATCAGTACCACGCAATGTCAAGCCTCTCAGTCTCAGCCTTCGTCTCCAAACCCTAATCGCCCTATAATCGGCCGACGATCAGCGGCTCCTTTGCTTTCCTCGCGGAAAGCTCGATCATGGTCATCGGCGATGGCATTGAGGAGCAACGCTTCTTCCGATCTAGGGTTTCCGCGCGCGAGACCAGGCTAATTGAAACAAGGGGATTAATTGCTCCGCCGCCCCCACCGACCGACGCCGCCGTAAGAATGAGGATATCGGGAACAGCGGCCGGGGTCCGATTCGAGCCGGAAGACGACCAAATCATCACTTATCTCCTCGATAAGGTAATGGGCAATGCCTTGCCCTTCAATCCGGTGATCGATTGCGACCTGTACGGTGAGGACGAGGCTTGGAAGAAGCTGTTCGTTGAAACAGGGGAGTCGGAATTGTATTTCTTCACCGGATTGAGGAAGGCGAAGACGAAGAAGGGGGAATTGGGCGGCGGCGGCGGTAGGGTTGAGAGGACCGTTGGCTACAAGGCCACGTGGCGGTCGAGCAAGGATGACCCTGTTTTTCTCCCCGGCCAGAATGTCCAGATCGGGTCGAAGCGTACTTTTACTTACCGTCCCAACCAGAGATCGGCGGCCGGCGGCGGGGAGGTGCCGGCGAGGAAGAACGACGGAGGAGATGGGTTCTCGATGACGGAGTACCGCCTCGACGGCGTACTCGGCTGCGTCGCCACGGATCATGTGATGTGCTCGGTGAGAAGGAAAGAAGGAAGCAGAGCATCCTCTGAGATGGAGATCATCGAGGCCGGGGTACCGCCGGCTTCGACGGCTTGGCGTTTGCGGGCTTGTGGGTCGATGATGACTCAGCCGGTGATGGGAGGAATGGTGTCTTTGTGCTAGTGATAGTTCGAGCTTTGCCCTCCTGTTGATTACCTCTCGGTATCACTTGAAACAGAGGCAGAGAGTGACATCCATGGCTTACCGGATTAAAGATTATTTCAGATTTACAGTAGAATGCAAGTAGTCGTTATTCTGATTTTTTGGGTTGAATGTATTTGTCGTCAGATTATAATCAAACAATGTCATTTATGTAACAGTTAGTTCATAATCCAATTACTGTAGAATGCAAGTTAGTTGTTCTTCATGTCTGCAAATTCTTAAGTTTCACTCGTTTATGTAACTGTTTCACTCGTTTGTCGTCAGATTATAATCAAACAATGTCATTTATGTAACCAGTTAGTTCATAATCCAATTACAGTAGAATGCAAGTTAGTTGTTCTTCATGTCTGCAAATTCTTAAGTTTCACTCGTTTATGTAACTGTTCTTGTTCTCTACCAAAAATAACTAGCTCTTCCCATTTTTACACTAGTTCAAATGTTCAATGCTTCTGCAACTTTGACAGTAAAGATTTGTCCCTGTTTTTACTGTGGAGGTTCTCTGCTAAGCTTCCCTTTGGTAAAAAGTTATATACATAAATGAGATCAGAGTCATTGATGCTGATGAGCTGATCCCAACAAGTGGTTTGGTGTAATGGTGTTCTTGTGGTTTCAGCGATGAGATGATATCTCAACTTCCTGGACAAAATCCTCCCTTGCTTCTGGTGACAACTTTCGGGTCTTCACTGCAACTGGCTTACCATCTTGGAAATGGAGAATTCCCTTGTAAACAATAAACACCTTTTTTTTGGTGAAAATTTAGATTACATAAATTACATACTAATCATAATTATCTTCATCCAAATCCAAGTTACTAAGGCTCGTTTAGTATTATTGCTTGTTTTTGTTGTCTGTTTTGTTTTATGAAATTTGGAAAACCAAGAAAAAAAATCGTGTTTAGTTGGGTTTTTATTTTCTGTTGTGAATCAGAGTTGCACAACAAGGCCCAAATATGAGAAACAATAATTTATTGCTTTGGATCTGATTCTTAAACATGTTGCACACGGGATTCCTACTGGTTGGGCACTTGATTTCATTAAACCATACCACTTTTTGAATCCCCACAGAAGCAAAAAAATTTCTTTTTTTTAACTCAGCCCCCCCAAACCCTACTTCAACATATCACTATCAGCCGCCCCCATACCATTTTCCATCTTCTTCTCGACGACAGAGGAGTTCACCTCCGAAGGTCGCCCTCGCCCAGCCTCCGGCACGACCCCTCCACCTCCGCCCGGCGACGCCTCGCCTCGCCTCCGCCCGCCGCAGCCCGCGCAGCCGCCCAGCCCGCCGACGCCCGCCCGCGCAACCGCCGCCGACGCCCTGCCTCCGCCGCCAGTCCGCCGGCTGCCGACCACTTCCCCTCCATAAACGCCTTACTCCATCTCTTTTCTGGTTTTTAGTTCTTATAATAGTAACTAAACGCGTTTTTGTTTCTTGTTTTCAGTTTTCATGATTTATCAGATTTATCAACTAAACAGGTTTGTGTTTTCTGTTTTTTTCCTGTTGTGGTTGTACATCTGTTTACACAACACCACTGCAACCACAACAGCAACAAAATGATACTAAACGGGGCCTAAGCTTCCATTATTTGAATTGTGTCCGTATCAATTTTGTTGTTGATTAAGCAGGTAGGCTAAAAGCCAACTATCACTCATGATGAATTTTATTATGCTTTATGGCCTAATGATTTGGTTTTAATTGTATTTTTTTGGACAAATTGAACTTGTACTTGTAACAATATAAATTTAATTTGTACATTTACTTTTTTTTTAATTATTTATTTATACATTTATGTTATGATACAAGTTGAACTTGTACTGTACCATAAAGTATAATGAAATGTGTACCTTCTTGTACCATAACATATAGATACAAAACACCAATACTTTATAGCACAATAAAATGCCTTTATATAGTTCAATCCGAATCATACCTTATAAACCGTGAAAAATCGTGTATAGTTAGCGTATTAACAAAATTTGATGTCTATAATTAATTTATTTCTTCTACAATTTATCAAAACAAAAGTGTATAAGTTTAATGTTTATAAAACGAAATGGTAACCAATCAATAAACTTATGGACTTCGCTACATTGACTTGCAAGTCACCGTAACTTGCACGATTCGGTCGACCGAATCTACTGATTTCGTTTTGTGACGTTCAACAATGCGGTTGACCTTTGTACATCAATTGGCCTACCTCATTCCTAAACCGGCAAACCTTGTGCATTAAAAGGTCTACCTCTCTATTGCATTAACTTATCAATATCAACTCGGAATTATTTCCGCATATAGTATAAAAGGTCGACCTGTGAAGTACGTGGTCGACCCCTTACACACCATATCCGTATTGAATAAGGATTCCAACACTAGAAAGGTAACCCTAACTTGTCTACCACTTAATTCGTCCTAATCTCATCCTAAATATCTATAAATAAGAATATATGTCACCTTCATCGCCACTCAAACACTGGATTCATTTTCTTCTAGGGTTAGCGTTTAGGGGAAGAAAAAGAAGATCGTGGTGGTTGTTGTTGTACGTGTTGTACACAGTCAACCACTTGCAAGGTAAGGTCGATCGATTTTAGCTAATGTCGTCCTCATTACTATTTCGTAATTTGCTTCCTTTAATTTGATGTTTTTTTTTTTGCTTACATAAGAACATTCGGTCGACCACTCTCACAATCAGGTCGACCTTTGTTGAACAATTGCGACAATTGAACTTAGAGCACAACACTCGGACTTCTGTTCCTTCGAGGTAAGGAAGATCAAACCCAATAGGTTGACCTAATTCTTATCATGGTCGACCACATGTGTTAGTTTTGTTTGTTTGTCCAGAATGTCGACAAGACTCTGTTATGCTAGAAGGTCAACCAGTCAATATGACTGGTCGAGCTATCAATTGTTCGTATGGAGCAAGGTTAGTGTATACGATGGGGATGTTCCGGAACCAAGCTTCTTTGCTGCCATTTTTTGCTGCAAGTGGAGTAGTGAAACGCCGAAGTACCTTGGCTTCCCTCTAGGTACAAAACCGAATGATGCTTATAGTTGGAATCTCATGAAAGAGAAGTACCAGAATAAGTTAAGTGGATGGCGGAGTCGGTTTTTGTCATATGGAGCAAGGTTAGTGTTGGTCAAATGGTTCTTTCAAGTAGTCCTTCATATTTTTTCTCACATTTAAGGCTCCAATGTCGATCATCCAAGATCTTGAGAAATTGTAAATAAATTTTCTCTAGAATGGGGGACAGATGATCATAAGATGGCTCTTATGGATTGGAACATGTGTAAGGCTGAATTCGGTAATGGCGGGGTGGGCATCCATGACTTGAAAATGTTTAGTGATGCTATGCTTTTGAAATGGTGTTGGAGGTTCGCGCTGAAGAAGGATAGTTGGTGGCGGGATTTGGTAAACTGCAAGTATCCCAATAAGTCTTAGTGTTGGCAGACGAGAAGGGCTAGATGAGGGTTCTCCTGTTCGGTGTTGGCAAATATCAGCGAGGAGTATTCTGGAGGTCTGCTTGTATCGACCTGGGAAATGGTAATATGATTTCGTTTTGGCATGATTGCTGGATCTCTGAGATTGTGCTTGCTGACTTGTTTCCCGCGCTGCCGTTGCTACCTCTGATCCGGGTGCTCTCCTCTCGGACGATGCAAACTTTTCCAGTGAGGCGGTGAGTTGGTACATTAATTTTAAATTTAATCTTCGGGAGGGGCTGAGAGGGAAATGACTGATCTTATTGGTTTATTGGATTCTATTGTTTTCTATCAAAATACATTTAGTCCTTGCAGGATCACATGAAACATTGAATCTGATCTACGCTTCTCGATAAGCTCGACGTACATGCGACTTGCTTTAGGCGAGTTCTGCGACGTGAAGGACTTTCCGGCAAAACAAATTTGGAAAAAAGTGTGTTTCTTCATTTGGCTGGTGTATCATAATAGAGTGCTGACGTTGGACAGCATGAAAAGGAGAGGATGGAATTTGGCGAACAAGTGTGCTTTGTGTCATGCCAAGGAAGAAACAACCCGTCATCTTTTTTGTGGAATGTGATTTCGTCAAGGAAGTTTGGAGGAACATCATGTGCAACGGGCAATCATTGAACTTTCTGGATTGTGACATTGTTTCGATCATCAAGCAATGGCCTGGTCCAAAGGAGGATAAAAAGAGGTGGTTCAATTTTGTCATTCTTCATATTGTTTGGTGGTTTGTATGGATGGAAAGGAATCAATATGTGTTTGAGGAGAAGAAAGGGACGCCTCTCACGGTGACTAGAAAGGCGGTGCACAGCTCTTAGGCCTAGATCGTTGCCCGTGGAAAAATTAATAGAGAAGTTGGAGCTAGATGGTTGAGGGAGAACGTTCTCGGAAGATGACCTCTTGGGTGGTGATGTGGGAGCCTTGCTCGCTGAATGCATGGGGGAGGGCGGATGACAATGTTGTCGTTGCGTGCTATTGGTGGATTTGGTGGGAGCTGACTCTTGTGTTTGGGATGTGATGTGGTGGGTTTGTTTTTCTTTTGATATGCGTGTTTACTTTGGCATGGGAGGAGCTGGTGGTGGATGTTTGCTGTCATTTTGCTGCTAGAATGTTGTTGCATTGGATGTGTTCATGTTCGGCTGTGGAAGTGCGCATTTTTCTATTCGTTGTTGTTGCTGCCGATTGAAGTTTGGCTTTATCTTTGCCTTCTGCGTGGATGTTTTGTTTCGTCTCTGCTGCTGCAGCACCGGTCTCATTTGTTGCTCGTTGTCTTGATACTTTGTCCTTTGGCAGGGATGGCATGATCCATCTAACCTTTGCTGCTTGCCTGTTGTTGCATTTTGTTTTTTTTTTTGTTTCCCTTCAGGAGTGGTTCGATCCAGTTAGTTGGGATTTTGTTTGTCTGTTTGCGTTGCTTGGCTCTTGTGGTTCAATCCTTTTGAACCCCTGTTGCATTTTTTTCGCTTGTCAATTTCAGTTTTTTTTGTATTCAAACAGTTTCTTTTACTTATTTTAATCTATTCACTATTATCATATAAAAAATGTTCGTGGTAATATTACATACATTTTGTCAGTAAATTGATATTATTCTACTTGATGGGTCAACAGGAAAAGGTCAAAGGTCAACCTAAATGGTTCTGGTAGTTACAAATTATGTCCTTAAGGTCGACCACATAATATTTTTGGTCGACCACGTCTCTGTTGGTGCTCATTTGTACAAATTTGAAGTTGAATTATGATTTGATTTTTTTATTTAAATTGATTAGACGATGACGCATGATGAGAAACAACACGATGAGGGTGAAATTATGAAAGTGTCGAAAACCACACAAGAGTAGATGGTGATGTGTCAAAAAGAATTC